GTGGCTGGCGCCTTAGCTGGTTGAGCTATAGGCGCCGAGCCTAAAGAAGGAGTCTTATTTTCTCACTCTCAGTAGAGTACTCATCATAGCTCACAGCAACCTCTAACCCTTGGGTTCAATTGATTCTCTTGCCACTGCCTCCCTAGTAGTTGGTACTATAGGTGCCCACCTCAAAGTCCAGCTATTTTCTAGAGATAAGGTCTTGCTCTGGCTCAGGCTGGTCTGGAACCTGGCAGGTGGATTGCCTCAGCTCCACCTGCCTCTGCCTCCCAGAGTGCTAGGATTACAGGTGTGAGCCACAGTGTCTAGCCCCCATCATTATGCTTTTGTTGTCTTATTTTGCTTTACTTGGCAATTGACAATTGAATTTATTTTTTACTGTAGTAATATACGTAACATAAAAGTTACTATTTTAACCACTTGTAAATGTACAATACAGTGGTAGAAGTACATTCACAATGCTGTGCAGCTATTACTACTATCCATTTGAATTTATTTTACATTAAGCTCTTTTTTCCTTTTTTTTTTGCAGTTTTTTTGGCAGGGGTTGGGTTTGAACCCATCACTTCTGACGTATGGGGCCGGCGCCCTACTCCCTTGAACCACAGGTGCTGCCCTCCTTGTTTTTTTTTTTAAGAGACAAAGGTTTTACTTTGTCGCCCTCGGTAGAGTGCTGTGGCATCACAGCTCATAGCAACCTCCAGCTCTTGGGCTTAGACAATTCTCTGCTTCAGCCTTCCAAGTAGCTGGGACTGCAGGCGCCTGCCACAACACCCAGCTATTTTTTGTTGCAGTTTGGCTGGGGCAGGGTTTGAACCTGCCACCCTTGGTATATGGGGCCAGCACCCTACTCACAGAGCCACAGGCACCGCCCTGATTAAGCTCTTTTTTCAAAAAATTTGTGGAAATCCATGCAGTACAAAATGTTAAGTTTTCAAGTCCACTAAGGAGTCAAAAAGTTAGGTTTTATGTTTAAAATAAAAGTGAATGGGCAGCACCTATGGCTCAAAGGAGTAGGGCGCCAGCCCCATATGCTGGAGGTGGCAGGTTCAAACACAGCCCCAGGCTCGGCACCTATGGCTCAACCGGCTAAGGCGCCAGCCACGTACACCTA